GTAACTTGTTACAAGGATGGGATAACGCAACAATTGCAGGTGATTTGATTCTTATGTTTTTCTCTGTATATGAAAAAAGTGAGGATTTTTATGGTTCAGTTTGATACAATTCACAGATCCTGTTTCAGTTTCATCCTTTTAAGCTTATCTCTTTTGTTTGTGTGATTGAGTTTTAAGCTATCTTTGGGGATTATGCAGGAGCTGTATTGTACATAAAAAAGGAGTTTGAATTAGAGAGTAATCCTTCAGTGGAAGGTCTAATTGTGGCTATGTCACTTATTGGTGCTACTTTGATTACAACATGGTCTGGAGGAGTAGCTGATTGGCTCGGTCGTCGTCCGATGCTAATATTGTCATCAATACTCTACTTTGTTGGTTCTCTAGTAATGCTATGGTCTCCAAACGTTTATGTGTTGCTCTTAGGAAGGTTATTAGATGGGTTTGGGGTTGGTCTTGTGGTCACGCTTGTTCCGATTTATATATCGGAGACTGCACCTCCTGAGATTAGGGGACAGTTGAATACGCTTCCGCAGTTTACTGGCTCTGGAGGGATGTTCTTGTCTTATTGTATGGTTTTCGGTATGTCTTTGATGCCATCTCCTAGCTGGAGATTGATGCTTGGTGTCCTTTTTGTTCCTTCGCTTGTCTTTTTCTTCCTCACAATCTTCTTCTTGCCTGAGTCACCAAGGTGGCTCGTGAGCAAAGGTCGAATGCTTGAAGCAAAGCAGGTTTTGCAGAGGCTACGTGGTCGTGAAGATGTGTCCGGTTAGTCTTACATCGTTCTGATTATAATTCTTTCAGTAAAGAAATTCTTTTGTATCGAGTGTTTTTATGTGTCAATGCGTAGGTGAGATGGCTTTGTTGGTTGAGGGTCTTGGAATTGGAGGTGAAACAACGATAGAGGAATATATAATTGGTCCTGCGGATGAAGTCGCTGATGATCTTGATATAGATGTGGATAAAGATCAAATTAAGTTGTATGGTGCAGAAGAAGGGCTGAGTTGGGTTGCTAGGCCTGTTAAAGGAGGAAGCACTGTGAGCATTTTGTCTCGCCATGGAAGTACAATGAGCAAAAGGCAAGGCTCATTGATTGATCCTCTAGTCACACTCTTTGGGAGCGTTCACGAGAAGATGCCGGACACTGGAAGCATGAGGAGTGCTCTGTTCCCACATTTTGGGAGTATGTTCAGTGTGGGAGGGAATCAACCGAGGAATGAGGAATGGGATGAGGAGAATCTCGTTGGAGAAGGTGAGGACTATCCATCGGATCATGGAGAGGATTCTGATGATGATCTTCATTCTCCGTTGATCTCACGTCAAACGACAAGCATGGAGAAAGATATGCCACACGCTCATGGAACTCTTTCTACTTTCAGACATGGAAGTCAAGTGCAAGGAGCTCACGGCGAAGGACCAGGTAGTATGGGGATTGGAGGTGGATGGCAAGTGGCATGGAAATGGACTGAAAGAGAAGATGAATCTGGACAGAAAGAAGGCGGATTTAAGCGAATTTACTTGCATCAAGAAGGGTTCCCGGGATCTCGACGTGGCTCCATTGTTTCATTACCTGGAGGTGATGGAACCGGTGAGACAGAGTTTGTACAAGCGGCTGCTTTGGTTAGTCAACCTGCTCTTTATTCCAAAGATCTTCTCAAAGAACATTCAGTTGGTCCTGCTATGATTCATCCGTCCGAAGCAACTAAAGAGTCAATTTGGCATGATCTTCATGATCCTGGAGTCAAACGTGCTTTATTCGTAGGAGTCGGGCTTCAGATACTTCAGCAGGTAATCTAGATATAGACATCAATATGAGTAGCTAATTACATAAGATATTTTCGCGGTTTACGGTAACTTTATGTTTTTCTGCTTCCTCTTGGAAATGCAGTTCTCAGGCATCAATGGAGTTCTATACTACACTCCTCAAATCCTAGAGCAGGCGGGTGTTGGGATTCTACTATCGAACTTGGGGATTAGTTCTTCTTCTGCATCGTTACTTATCAGTGCATTGACAACCTTTGTGATGTTGCCTGCAATAGCTGTTGCAATGAGGCTCATGGATATCTCGGGTCGAAGGTGATTAAAAAACTTAGAATTTCCTTTGTTCTTGATTCGTAATTCATAATACACACGAATCGGAAAAAAGGCTAAAATTTTGTTATGAAATGTTGCGGTTTTGTAGGACATTGCTGCTCACTACGATCCCAATCTTAATAGCAACTCTAATAATCTTAGTAATCTCGAATCTAGTTCACATGAACAGCGATGTCCATGCGGTCTTATCAACCGTAAGCGTCGTTCTCTACTTCTGTTTCTTCGTGATGGGTTTCGGTCCTGCTCCAAACATCCTCTGTTCAGAGATCTTCCCAACTCGAGTCCGCGGAATCTGCATCGCCATCTGCGCTCTCACTTTCTGGATCTGTGACATTATCGTCACGTACAGTCTCCCTGTTCTGCTCAAATCCATTGGCTTAGCTGGTGTGTTTGGAATGTACGCAATCGTCTGTTGCATCTCATGGGTTTTTGTCTACCTCAAAGTCCCTGAAACTAAAGGTATGCCTCTTGAAGTCATCACTGAGTTCTTCTCTGTCGGAGCTAGACAAGCTGAAGCTGATAAAACCAACTAAGAAACTAAAAAGACTAGAGATAGAGATCAGAGTTTGGTAATGTTTTTCCATGTTCATGTGGATTTGTTGTTGTGTTTTTTTTTTTACTTTGTGCAGTAATAATCATCTCTCTCTCTCTCTGTTTCAAACTTTCAATTACGAATCTCTTTATTATCAGAAAGATAAACTTCCAAAGTTGCATGCTTTTGATAAGCCTAGCTCCGATTTTGTCAAGTTTCTTGACAGAAGCTATCGAATTCAAGTTTCCGGCTTTCGCAAACGCTTCGATCATTATCTCTCCGATCAGTTCACCTTTCTCCGTCGTGTCGATAACCGCGACAGCCGTTGGACCAGCTCCACTTATAGTACACCCGAATGCTCCGGCTTCTAAAGCAGTTTTCTTCACAGCTTCCATTCCCGGAATCAACCGAACCGGTACAATTGGAAGGTGTCTGGAAACCGAACACTACTGTCGGTTTGATACGGTTTTGGTATTGATTTGGTTATGCTCGGACATCAAATCCGGTTTTAGTCGGTTTTGGTATGGAGAAACTTTGGTTTAGATAGTTTAACCAGATTAGCAAACAGTTTCTCAATTGGTTTACCAACAGAACTTGGGATTGTGAAAAGAGATGCCAAGTTATTTCTTCTTTTAAGATTACAACTTGAGCTTTTATCTTACAAGTTTTATTTTATATATATGGAGCATCTTTTTGGTGTTAAAAGTGTTCTCTATACTTCTTGAAGTATTATAATTTTAAATCAAAATCTCCTTTTTTTGTTACTACTATACGTATGAGGTAATGTGTCTACTTTTTCTTCACCGTGACATCTGAAGAAGATGGCTTCAAATGATGATGATGGATTTGTGTCACATTGATCTAGAAGACTTTACAGAAAGATCATCGTTTCGTTTACGCTTCAACTTTCTCTTGGATTCATCTTCTTTTTCATCAAAATAAGCTAGAAATCTCTGCAATGATCTAGAACGCGAACTTTCTGGTGGCGAAGGTACTATAGCTTCTTCCTCAGGCTTGTGGTGGTTGCAATAGTCGCGGACTATCTTGAAGAAGTAGATGAATAGAGCGATAAAACACGCGATACCACATACAAGGAATAACCCCCAGAAGCTACGGAGTTTAAGCTGTTCTGGATCATCATCTGACTGTGAACCATTCAGGTTACTGCAGTTTGATTTCGAAAGCCACTTGTCATGTATCTTTTGAAGTTTCCCGGTTTCTGATAAGCCTAAGATCGCGGTTGACATGTCAACCGCTAATGGCGAGTCTCTCGGAAATGCCTTGAAACAAAAGAAAGATAGTCAAGACGAATGTTCAAACAAGCAAAGAGACATTATGAAATGTAGTGTACTCACAAATCCCCAGCCACTTCTGGTGAATTCTTGGCCTCTAATGGCGAATCCGCAGAAATCCGAGAGGAAGAGATCAACGTAAGGTCGTTCATCGACAATGGCAGAAACAGTTCCGTTTTGAAGAGCTGTAGCGTATTCTTGAGGAGAGGCTAGTGCAACAAGTCTTGATCTAGCAATGTTAAGCTCATCAATCATGTAGTTTTCAGCATAAGAACCTACTTGAAACCCGATTCGTCCGCTGCTGCTGATGAGTGTGTCTACTCCTTTTATCGGTGAGTTAAGCTGTTGCACTGTAAGAATCGATGTAAGACTCGCTGTGTAGCTTGACGTTATGATCAGAACCACAAAAAGCCAGATCAACAACACAATACGACCAAGTGTGCTCACTGTATTCTCTCCTGCAAGTTTACTAAAAAATGTTAGAGATATCATCACATTGTATTGTAGAAACTTTAGCTGCTGTTTCGAGATGTAACTTACTGTGGGAGAAAAACATCGTCGAGAAGCTGAACCTGCATAAAAAGATCATAGCTGGTGAGGTCTTTAAGTAATGTTATACGCCAACATATCAGTATAGTGTAGCTTCAGTGACTGTTTACTAACCAGAGTATTGTAACAATTTGCCTCCTTGGAGGTCCACGAAACTCATCGTTGATTCGATGTTCAAGAATCCAAATTACTGATCCAACGATGAGGAAAAAAGCTGCTGTTACAGCCCACATTGGAGGCGTAAAAGGGCGTAAGAACGCCCAAGGAGTATCATTTAGCTTCGTGACCGGAGCAACTACGACAAGCCCTGATTCTATGTATGGCTGAGTGAAATCAACAATCTTTGTTCTTTTTGTGACAATCGCTATGTCTCCAACCACAGCATCAAATACCTGAAAGCAAAATATGATAAAAACTCGCACTGTTACACAGTCAGTTCTCTAGATAATGCTTATTAGGCTTTCTTTGATCCTTTTCACTCACCCCAGTAGTTACATTGTTGACAAGTTCATTGTAGTTTGGGTTCTTGAGACCGTCTCCAAATAGGATGAACTCGTGAGGAACCGGATAAGAAAGCAGTTTTACCGCAGCTTCAAATACATCTATGCAATACCCTTGCACTTTGTTGTTTCCATTGACCCTTGACACAAAGTCCTTGAAGCTTGCTCTCTCGGGGACACCGATTCTCAATCTTCTCCCATTGTTAGGAAAAACCCATCCACGCGGTGTCACAGTAGTCCCACCAGGCCAAGTCACATTGTTCAGATGTTGGTTTGAGCTCGACCGGTTTGGAGGCTTACTGTATAGTGACTCAGGAGGTACAACAGAGAGTCCAGAATGGTTAGACCAGTACCCTATCTGCTTAAACCCGTCATCAGCCACATTTATAATGTCGTACGCAGGCTGAAACATCGATCTGTCGGGATGAAACTCCACTGGACCTGTAACACCAGTCATCTTTGTATTCACAATATAATCAAGAAACTGTGATCCTTGATCAAATATGCTCAATGCACGTAGATTCAGTGACCCTCCCTTCAAGGTGGTTAACTTTGAGTCGCTGGAGAAAGAAATGTTAGCTCCACTATCTAGAAGTCTCTTAACAGCTCGAGCAATGATCCAGACAGTATCATATGCATAGAGACCATAAACGTTTAACCCGACAGTTCCATTACTCAGCTTGTTCCACCGTGCCACGAAATCTCTTTTCTTTATCGAATTCCGCGTGTGAATACGAAGAGTGAGCACTCCTCTAAGAGATTCAGCATTCTTTGGAGGCAAAGGGCTAACAGAATCTAACAGAGAAGTCAACCAAGTAGTAGCTATCCAAACATAACCTTTCTCCATCATGCCAAGCTTCTGAGCTTCCTCAAAGATCATTTTACCAGTTCTGGGGAATGTATTCACAATGATTATACGAGATTCCATCCTTTGAATCTTAACCAACTCATCTATGATCTCACGAGGACTCATAAGCACAACATCCAAAGGAAGCACAGCCTTGTAAGATATCTTGCAGCGCCTTCCTTCGAGCTCATCGCCTAATGATGTTATACCGTTTCTACTGTTGTCATCGTCATTGTACAACGCAATCACATCTGACCAACCGTAATAAGTTATCATTTCCGCAATGGCGCGCATCTGAAAGAGATCGCTAGGCGCTGTTTGGACAAAGAACGGGAACTGAAGCGCCGAGAGACTAGGGTCTAAAGCTGTGAATGACAACATAGGCACACTAAGCTCATTTGCAAGATGAGACAGTACATGAGCCATGATTGATGTCTGAGGACCAATTATAGCCACAGCATCAGTCTCCATGAACTGCAATGCTGTAACATCAAAGAACCAACACAATGATTGGTAAGTAAAAAGTTTGATTTCCAAAACAAGAATCAATAAAAACAAGATCAGTTATTCACCTCCCATGATACTGAGGAATCCATTTCGCTTAGCATCATACATCATTATACGCAATTTCGATCCACCGAGGACGCTAGGATCAGAATTGACATCATCCTCTGCAGCTTTCATTGCAATATTTGCAACTTGACCATATAAAGTGCCTAAACTAAAGATTGCTCCAACATTAACATCACGAGGCCTTGAAGCTCCCTCTGAAACCATCCCATCACCACTAAGAACAACCAAGTTCAATAAAACCAAAACCCAAAACATTGCTTTGGCTTTATAATCAGTCCCTGAAAACACCAAGTTAAAAGCAATTAGACAAAAACCTTTGAGATAAAAAAAAAATCCCCAAAATAGTTAAGAATCATCATAGTGAGCCATTTCAACAGAATCATAAAGGGTTTTTTTGTGTGTGTCAAATCAAAAGAGTAACAAAAGAGAAAGCTAGAAACTTGTTATGAACAAGAGAGAATATAGAAGATAAGCAAAGAGAGTAGCTTTAACCAGAACTGAAAAAAGAAAAGTGTCACGAGGATTAAACCCTTACCTCAAACATAACGAAGTGGCAAGAGATGCCAAAACCAAAACCAAAATCATACTTTTGAAAAAGAAGATTCGTCAGGCAGAGAAAAAAAATCTACCTGAAGGAAGAAGCAAGAGGGGATATATAAAAAAAGGAAAAAGGAAGAAGGAGTGGGTCTTCAACATAAAACAACAAAAAGGAAGTAAATTGAATTTGTGGGTATGCTTGAAGATTTGGGAAAGTTGTAAACTTTTTTTGGTGGGGTTTTGATTACTAACATTTTCAGGTTGCAAACAAAAAGGTTAAGAAGGAAATTACATAGACTAAGACTAATCAAAGTTGTCGACATCGATAATTCGATGTAACGAGCCATTATCAAGTGAGAGTGTGAAAACTCTAATCATTCTAAGTGAAAAAAATGAAAACTTTTTGTTTGCCAAGTTGACGAAATGTGACCCTTTCTGTTCCCCGGCCAAATAAAAAGGAAGAAGATGATGAGAATTGGAGAACTTTTTTACGATATTATTCCACTTAATGATCTTTTTATTGAGTAATGAAATAAATCGAATTTTCTTTGCGTCATCAAATTGTATGATTATGTACTTTTGATTATTATTAACTCAGTAATTTTTAAAAAAATTTTAATATTATATTTGTATTTTGATCTCGTTAACAACTATTTCCTCCGTTTCATAATATAGGATATTTTCAATTTTTTTCGTTTCACAATATAAGATGTTTTGATACCTTAAGATACTTTTTAATTTTGTTGAAAATTCTGTAACCAATAATCTTTTGTAGTTTTTTTTATAATTAGTTAAATTATTTTAATTAATAATATTAAATTCTATTTTTTTGAATTTTTTTTTGTTTTAATATTTGTACTTTTGGCAAAACATCCTATATTATAAAACGGAGGGAGTATTATCCAATATCAGACACTCATCATACTGTTTTTTTTTTTACTATTATACTTCTTTTGTCATCACTATTTTAATTTAAACCATGATCCAATGACTTTTTATTTTGTTGTTACTTTTTTTTGTTAACTTACTTACTATTCGTTTGGATATTATATTTGTGGCCTTTGGCTGGATATTTCGAATATCTTTGGTCGAGGTTTTCTGCATTTAAAACATATGTTCCACATAACTCCAAACATGTTTCTTATATTGGACTATTCTTTCATTTGCCCCAAAAAAAAAACAGATATTAATGGTATATTATGTCAAATTACCAACTAATAAAGTCTTTATGTCAAATTGAAAAGAGAAAACAAATTACAATCAAAATGTCCAATATCAATTGTGTGTATCATGGGAATGTGGGGATTTCTATTATGTGGAAGCTCCACCGAAGAAATTGTGTAATGGAAGTTGAAAATCCACTCAAAATCTTTACTTTTTCTAGTGCACCAAAGAACCTCGTTTGCCTCTGTCATCATCTATGGAAAGAGAGAATGACAATAATATGAACAATAATATCTGGTTTTCATACTTGATTATCTTCTTATAAAATTCATGTAGAGGAAATTGAATACTTTGGCTATGTAATATAAGTGGTTCTATACGATGCATGAAACTTTTTAACTGCTATGGAGTTGGTGGGAAGTTTCCTTAATGTGTTCCGACTGAGATCTCTAGACATGTAAGTTCAAAAAGATTCACTTCATGAGATATATATATTTTTTTTGGTCACACATTAGAAAAACTCTTTTGTCGATCTCAATGTGGTCGCATGGCCGGTCTATTATTTTTGGATGTCGTGAGCTAATATCGGAAAAATGTATGTCCGTTAATAAAACTCTTTTCATATATGTTTAATGATATTAAAAAATTGAGCCCTACTTATTTTGGCAATATATCATGAAACCATAATCGATGACTTCATTTGTTTATGTATTTTTGGACCGGACATGTATCTGTAATCGATTTGTAGTCTAATTTTTCACTTTACACAATCTCAAAATCGGATTTTGCAATATGATATAGTGAACCATCAAACTTAAGAATCATAGTATACACCAAATGTGCTTATATAGATTACTTAATTCAACTTTTGGATTGAGTTGAG